ACTTAGTCGTGCAATCAGATTGCCATCATTTAGTATCCTAGCACACTGGTTTAGTCTTTCGTTAAGTTTCATCGTTGATGCATTTCTTAAAATACTTCCACTTTCAAATTTCTCGCACAGAAAACATGCTTCATTGAGTACACTTTTTCTTTGCTTTTTTGATCTTTCATTATCTGCTGCATTGTCTGATGTTAGTGATTCATTGACAGACCTTTTCCTTGCTCTTTCAAGCTTGGACGTGCTAAATAACAGTCTACAGGACTGGTGGTAGACAGCATTGTTCTTTCTAAATGTTTCCTCAATGCCGTCACCTTCATCAAGTCGATCAGGGTCTAATACAATTGGCAGATTGTTGATAGCAACAAATAGAGGTATGTTTGCTGCAAGAGTTTGATAGCCATCTTTTTCTCGTACAGCTGGATTKGCAGCAGGTGACCTTAGTTCTTCTTTTTTGTCTTGTTGGCAGAGACAGCACTTTGCCCAGTTCGTTTTCCATCTTTTATCCATTTAATGCTCCAGTGACCATTTGCTTTACTAACTAATAATAGCAGGCAAATGAAAAAAGTTGTTTTTATTTTTCAAAAGATGTTGTTGAAGGTTGTTCTCTGCATTATTTGCATTAATTATTATTTATTTATTATAATGCATGATTTGCATTATTTTTCGTAACTTCGCTGACCTCTAATAGTCAGATTCGGAGTATTTTCGATATTTTTTCTTTATTTCACTAATATAATACATCAAAAACAAAATCAATTATGACTATTATATGCTTTCATTATTTTTCTTACCTTTTTGACATTAAGAACGAGTTAATATCTGCTCATCATGCGAGTTAATTATTAACCCATCTTCAAAATGGCTGCCACAAGAATTCCACAGGAATACCAACCCTGAATCCACCACAGGAATCCCATTTTTAGATACGGACCGGAAGTAGTCAAAATCGAAGTTGAAAACCTCATTTTATAATCGAAAACTTACTTAAAATGAAATTTATCAACTATTTAACCATAATTTATAAAATATGGTTGGTTTTGTTGCAAAAAAGAAAGCTATTAACAATTTTATTAGAAATGGCCGCCATCTTGAAAATGGCGGCCATCTTGGAAATTTGATTATCAAATTTCTCCACTTAGATATGAAATTTTGTTTGGCACATCGATTAATCCTTGAATATGACCTAAAGTTAGTATCCATGCCAAATTTCATGCTTGTATCACAAAGTGAAAGATTCTGCTGCTAGCTGCTCCACTATTAATACAGGTTTCAAAAGCTCTTCTTCATCAGATGAGATGATACTGTAATAAAAATTCAACAGATTTTTTGACAGTTAAAAAATTACATTCTGCTTCTGACAAATGAGAGTGCTTCTCCAATAGTGTTTTGACAAGCATTTGCAATGTCCAAAATTGATTATTACAAAATTTTGGGATTAAGATGGGCTCTTTTACAGACGTATGATCATATTATGTGAATATCCTGTATTGGAACAAATGAAAAAAATAAAATAAAAAATAAATAAAATGTTGT